TTGGACAAAAGACATTTTCACTGAAGGTTTAGAAATGAGGTAATGTAAAAAAACAAAACCCTGTGCCCACTTGAAGTGGGTTCTGACTGCAGAAACATCCTCTTAGTTCCCAGCAAATCTGGAAGTGGTTTTAGAAAAATCACATTTTTGTAAAAAGGGTACAGCTTTGCATAGGGAGGAATTGCCCTAAGAAGATTGGAGTCTTATTTCTGATGTGATCATAAGGTTCCTGTGTCATTTGGCAAGTTACCTGGCATAAAGATGCATGAATAGTCTATTTGACTTGAGTGAGCTGAGGACATTGGTCCCGTGCAAGGATACTGCTGTGAGAGGAGCCACTGAAGTAGCATTGTACTTTGAAAGCTATTTACAGTCTTATAGCATCTGTCTGCACAAAATGGTTCTTTTTTATCAGGCCAACAGCATTTTGGAAGGATTAAAAAGATTTTGTCCCAATAGTAGGTGGCTGCAGTCATTCAAATCTCCTTTATTCATAGCTTTAGCCTAATGCTTCTAGACCAGGGGTGGGCAAAATGCGACTTGTGAGCTGGATCTGGCCTCCCAGGCCATTCTATCCAGCCCGCGAGGCCCCTAAAAATTTAGAAAATTAATATTTATCTGCCCTTGGCTGCCTGTCATGTGGCCCTTGATGGTTTGCCAAAACTCAGTAAGCGGCCCTCCACCCGAAATAATAGCCCGCCACTGCTCTAAACCAAGGGTCAGCAACCTGTCAGGAGTGATGGGCTAAATTAACACAGCTGGTTCTAAAGGTAGGCTGCTGGCACCACTGCTCCCCTTGTTGCCAATGAAGTACTGATACTGATGCTATAGGTTGCCAGGCCCTGCTCTAGAAAAATCTTCTGGAGATGCATTGCAATGGGAGAACTTGAGATCTTAGAACTGCTATTAGGAGAGGCCAGGGTGCACCCATCCTGGAGAGAAGAAAGTGGGAGCCCCAACCCATGGAGGGACCAGAGTCTACAAGAATCAAAATGATGTCAGGTGGATCTTGTCAGGACTTTGGGATTCCCAAAGCAACCCTGGTACCATCAGATGAGCATTTCACATACATGATAGGGGAGGGGCAGGTTCTCGTGTGGAGAAGTGATGGAGGTGGAGGACTAGAACTTAATTCACCCCAACAGCCGCTTGACCTGAGGGAGAAAAAGCCGTACTGGGGATATACCCTGCCAACTCTCCCTCCTCCTCCCCCTCTCCCCCAAGTATTGCCCCCATGAAAGGGCTGGTGAAGCAGGTTGGTCTCTGGCAGATCACTCCATACCGGTACTGTCTGATGTACCTCTGAACATAGCTTTTGTTTGGCAGTGCTTATTTCCCTACCAAGTAGTAAGGCTTTCACACGTTTCTCCTGGTAGCTGGATCCCTAGCAAATCTTTGGAGCAGCAGATCATGGAGTCTTCAAAGCTACCACGATGACAAAGCTAGATCCTCTTCTATTTTGTTATGGCCATGGTCTGTTCCCTCAGCCTGAGGGGCCTCTGCAAACCAGGGCATCCTGAGCCAGGATCAGTGTCTGTTGGCATATTTCCTTCAAGAAGTGACTTGTGAGGCTCTCAGTCCTAGCCAGAATGTAATTGCAGTCACAGGAACTGAACTAAGATACACAGACTGGGTTTTTCTCGTCAGTCCAGTTCTTGTGCACTCTCTCATCTGGTTTGGGAAACACTGTTCAGCAAAAGCCATTAATAGCTCTCAGCAGTAATCTGCCCCCACACCTCTCGATTCCTTCGAAATGGTCAGAAACAAGGAATCCAGCTTCCATCCTGTGGCATATCTCTGCGGGGCACTTTGCTTTCTACTGTGACATTTCCCAAAGGGTTACTCTTAAGGAGAGACATTAAGACCCCCTCTTGCAGGCTATTTCCATGAAGTAACAGAAGATATCCCTGCCTGACCTGGTCAATGCATTGTCATCTGATTCCTATTGGCTTTCGGCCCTAATGTAAAGGGGCTATGAATGCAGTCCTTGCAAAGCTTCTGGAAGCTCCATGAGGGAGCTTCAAAAGGTCTCTCATCTCAAAAGATGATCTCTCATCTCTGGTCAAAAGATCTGTCATCTCTGGTGAAAGGCTCTCCTGAAGCCTGCAGACTGTCCAGTGGGTAATATCAGCCATCCAGTGAAGGCTCCATCCACTCAATGATTGGACTTATGTTAGTCATCTGGCTAACTACTAAAACAACCCCATAGAGCAATCACACACTGGGAGCAGCCTATCAAAACGGCTTGACCATATAAGAAAAGGCAGAACACCCTGAAGTTAACTTTAGAGATGAAAAAAATAGACCCACTTAACTTCTTCCTCTATTGCTGCTCTCTTTAGGGCAGCAAGTGTGCATGTCATGTCTGACGAGCCTCTGGGCCACGCACTCTATTGAAAGATGCAGGCCTGGTCACTGTCAGCCACAACTTTATTTGCAGCTGTGATGAGGCAGCCTGGATCACGCAAAGAATTGTTTCCTTGTCAATGGGGAAGGATTTGTGTGGGCAATATCTTTTACTGGCCCAAGTGCATTGTGGGGATAGACAAGCTTCCAAAGAAGAAAGGGTACTGCAACATCTGAAAGCTTGCCTAAGTTTATCCCCAGCAGGCAGTTGGTCCAATAAAAGATCATTCACAAAATCTCACATATTTCCTAGACCATCATGGGCACAACATTCCTTGTCAATTCTCATTTGTAGCAGGAATTTATCAGGACCTCAACTTCCCTTTTCCCCTTTATTCTTCCTTCATAGTGGCAGTATACACTTTTGCCTCCAAGACTAGGATAGTTAGAATGCACAAGCAGATTCATAAACTGAAGGTCAGGCTCAGGTTTACTGTATGTACAACAGCTTCTTATAAGAGTAAAAGCCAATTGCATTGTTTCAATAGCATATTAAAGCCAACGGCCATACCCAACTACTTTCCAAGCAAATATTGTGACTGAGCTGTGGGGAAGACAGGAGTGAAACTTAACTTTCATAAGAGCCAAACTGCTGCAGCTGAAGGAAATACAAATAACAAGGAAGGAATGGGGCTAGAATGATAGTGAGCAAGGTTCAGAGCTGAGGAAAAGGAACACAACTGCTTCTTCCTCCACCCAGGGAGGAGAATGCAGGCTCAATGTGACTTGCTCAAGGCCACCATGAGTGACAGTGACACATTCAGGCTCTGATCCCATGCACTTGCACACCCTCTGCCCAAGAAACAAAGTGGGTGGCTGCAGCTGGTTTAGAAGGTAGACATATTCTCTGGTGGTGACTGTGCCCTGTATCTTTGCCCAAAGTATCAAGAACAGGAATGACTGGGTACTCTATGAGCTAGTGGGAGCAGAGATGTCCGTAAAGCAGGCCCGCAACTGCACATCCAGGATGTTGCGAGGGAATGGATGGGAGCTCTGCTAAGCAGTAGCATCAAGGCTGGCTTTCTGTCCACCTCACTAACCCTACCTGTAGGTACCTGCTACAGCCTACTGCTCCTCAGCTGGCTGTCGCAGCCCAGCTCTGCTGAGGCCTACACTATCCCCCCCAACCTACTTGAGTCAGGCATGGATTAGGACCTTTGGAGCAACCCAGGTAGGAGGGAACTGGGGAAGGCGGCTATGGGACTAGGGGACATGGGGAAAGAGGTAGAGGAAGCAGTTTCAATACACGAGACAGCTGAGGCTGAGTACCACCATCTTTCAGTTCCTCCTTGGCCAGGCCAGAGCAGCACTCAACCTCTAAGGCCTGGTGTCAGGACTCCTGGGTCTTATGCTAGACTTCAGCTCCAGCTCACGAGTGACTTGCAGCAAGTCCCTAGTGCAAGTCCTCTGGGCCAGCACAGCCTTCCTTCACACCCACAAGAACATCAGCCTTTAGCCCCATGCTGGGCGCAGTAAGCAGCGTGTTCTCAGCCTCTGAGCTGTGTGCATTCCCAGGGCAAAGCCCTTCCCACTGCACGTTCTGAGCAGGGGGCTCAAGAACCACAGCAGAGGCAGAGTTCTCCAGCTGCCCTCTAGTGCCTGGACAGCTGTATCCTCACTTCAGCCTGGGTGCAGGCTGCAGCCCCTGTTCCCAGAGAAACCTGAGACAGGCAGGCTGGCCTGCAGGAATGGGATGCAGGGGTGCTCACAGGCCCCAATTTTCAGTTTGGCCTCTAATACCATCCCTACCCTCCTCTCTCCTGATCCACATACAGCAGTGGGTCAGCCCCAAAGCTGACCTAGTCTTCTGTCCTCCCAAGGAGGGCTCTGATCCCTGAAGAAGTCCCATGTAATGAGATGTTGTGCATGTGGCATGGGAACAAGATGGAGGCTACTTGCTCACTCCTCTTCAGGCATAAGGATGGCCCTTGCCAGAAGGGAGCTACTCCTGGTTTCTCCCTGGCTTCTCTCTCCAAAAATGGCTGGGGGGGGGGGGGG